GCTTGCTGTGGCGACCTACCTGCAGATGGACCACGTGGCCGAGACCTGCAGGGATTTCATGCACCTGCACTGGTGAGGGGCTGGAAAAAAAACGTCTGTCATCAAAACATCTATATTACTGTGATTTTATTGCTAAGAAATAAATCCATCTTTTGACTTGGGTGATCCCTGTTTTTCAGCAGGGAGAATACAAGTGCAAGACACTTACGATTGGAGCTGGACTCCAATGTGTCTGTCGCCTCTGTGGCCCCTAAAGGAGGAGATCTGCCTCATCCAGGACCAATGGCAGCAGCAACAAGGTGAGAGAAGTCAAAGATTCTTATTTGAGATGAAGGACGTGCAGAATTACATCAGGGGCGTGTCTCTTACATTTTGAAATTTCTCATTTCTTAGTTTTCTGAAGTGGTTTTGATTCATCTTCTCATAAATTGATACACTGGCAATGAAAGTATATTAACATGTGTGAGGATACATTTGCAGATTTCCATGAGTGTGTCTGCTGGTGGGTTGTGCTCGTGTCTCTTTGTCTGTACGACAGCCTCAGCTCATTATAGCACTTCCTTTGTTTCTCCTGTAAGGTTCCCAGTGGAGGGTGGGGGTGCACTTAAGCAAGGGGCTTTCCCGTTTTGCCAGCCCGGGTCAAAGGAGCAGAGAGGAGGCCCAGAGTCGCCCCTGGTGGGCACCCCGACCTTGTCTCCAGACAGCCCTGCCCGCTCCAGCTGCCAACCCAGCTCCCCAGCCGAGTCCAACACGTGTAACAAAAACCTTGTGGTGCGTCTCGAGAAAATTATGTGAATTTTGTCTCTTTAAACTGTAGTTTATACATTTCTATAACGCATCCTGTTAATTTCTCCAGAATGATACCAAAGCCTCACCAGACCCAAAGGCCTGCAACTGGAAGAAATACAAGTACATCGTCCTCAACCCTCTCTGTGCTGCAACCACGGTGAAGGAGGAGGAGATGGACGAACCCCAAAATCAAGCATCGCCCGTCAAGGACGCGATCGGCTTTGCACCCAAAGCCCCTGCAGAGGCGTGGTCTGGAGAAGTGCCTGGTCAGATTGATAGGTACGAAAATGAAATAGTGAGAATTAAAAGCTGAGATGGGAGAACTAGATACAGAATGTTATGTTTGCAAATCCAAATTCATGAACCTCTCCCTCAGACAGGGGCAGGCCTCCTGCTACGAGGGTTCTGGCCTAGCCCCTCCCCTCGGGCCACCCCCCTCTGTGGATCCCCTGAAAGCGCCCCCCCCTCACAAGCAGGGAACAGGTACGAACCAAAACACTTTTGTAAAACAAGAACAGTAAATTAAAGCCTTTTTTTCTGTGTCAGTCATTGTAGTGGTGTGTTAAACATGTCTATGCTTGTTTCTGCAGTTTCCCCCTGCACCAGTTTCCCAAAACTGGACCCCACTGACCCAGAAGCTGCCCGCCACAACCAACCTGCAATCAAGCGTGAGAACTACTACGCACCCTACTGTTACTCTGGCAACCTGCAAGGAACCAAGTCTGCCAGCTCAGGTGAGGATATTTCTTTTTTTGATCTCCCATTTTTTAATTTCTTAGAAATGAAAAAGCCGTTATCCTAAGAGCGCCCTCTGCTCTGACAGGTGAAAAGCCGTACCGCTGCAACGTGTGTGGTGCCCAGTTCAACCGACCAGCCAACCTGAAGACTCACGCCCGCATTCACTCAGGAGAGAAACCGTACCGCTGTGACACGTGCGGCGCACGATTTGTTCAGGTGAGGGCTAACTCTGTGTGTGTGTGTGTGTGTTTGTGTGTGCCACAACTCAACCACTCTAATAATGCGTCAAGCCTACATATACCTGGTCAATCCATCATGCTCTGTTTTTCAGATTTCTTGACCCTTCACTTCATCCATTCACCCTTCTAACTCTTCCCTCCCTCATCCCCTCCTATTCAGTTTGGTGCAAACCTCTTGTCTCGTTCCAGCCACTGGCTGCAGGTGGAATGATCCCTGAGACAGAAACCTCCACCCTCCACCCTCCGTCCTCCCAGTGCAGCCTATCAGACACATCTTCCCTCAGCGCCATTTCATTTTCCTCAACATCCCATATATCAATTTCCAATAGAGCTTTTAAATTACATATAGCTGTGTCATGGGCCTTGTTGGTGAAGTACCAATAAAAAGTTAGTTTCAAACCCAGTCAATTTAAGTGAGTAACCAGTTTTCTGTAGACACAGAAATTGAATTAAAGTTGTGCTTTAACTCTGTTTGTGTGGCGGTGTTACAGGTCGCCCACCTCAGGGCCCACGTCCTGATCCACACAGGCGAGAAGCCGTACCCCTGCCACACCTGCGGCACCCGCTTCCGCCACCTGCAGACCCTGAAGAGCCACCTGCGCATTCACACCGGAGAGAAGCCTTACACTGTGAGTCCCCTGCTCGTCATACATCACACGCCACCGCCCCGTCACAACCCTGCTGTTTAAACCTCTAACTCTCCCTCTTCTTCTTGTTCAGTGTGAGAAGTGTGACCTGCACTTCCGCCACAAGAGCCAGCTGCGTCTTCACCTGCGCCAGAAGCACGGGGCAGTGACCAACACCAAGATCCGCTACAAGGTGCTGACCGAGCCCTTCCAGCCTTTACTGCAGGCCTGCTGAGGAGGACGACCTGCGACCCGGAGGACGAGCAGAATAACAAATGAATACTCTAATTATTTTGTATTCTTTTTAAAAAGTGAGGTGATAATTTGTGAATTTCAATTTGGACCTTTAGATTGAATATGGATCAGGTTTGTAGAAAAAGATCAACATTTTGTTGGATGAGGTTTGGAGATAATATATGAGGAGTCCCAGGTGGCTTTTCATTTTAGATGATGGTGTTCAGAAGTGTTTTTGAAGGTTTGTGAAGGGAGAGAAAGAAGGAGAACGAGACAAGGAAAAGAAAGGAAGGATGTGTATACAGTGAAATATGAAGATGTGTGAGCATGTGAGTCTGAAAGATGGATAGAGCAAGTTATTTGAAGGAGAAAGTGGTGCTGGGTTTTGGAGTAAATGAGAATCAAACATTGTTTGATGCATGAAGCACTTAATCAGTGTAGAGATATTGAAGTTTTTCTTCTTAAACGTGTATTTAACTCAGATTTATCTTTAGCTTGAGGCCTGGGGCCTGTGTGTTCTCTAAATATGCAGTTTCATCTGCTTTTACGGTCCCAGCAGGCAAAGGACTTCACTTTCTAATAGAGCATAGAAAGTAGAAAAATGAAATGATATATTGTTTTCTGAAATAATACATTTAAAAAAGATTGTAATGAATTGGATGATTGATAATAATAATGTTAAATTTGTATGTGTATGGGTTCATTTGCTGGACAAAGACGGTTTCTCACAAGTTAAATTAAAATCGTTTTTTTTAACAGTTGGACTGTTGATGTTTTGTGTCTAATTTATTTAGATAGTAGATGTATAAATACATACATACATACACGTGTAGATAATGTGAGGTTTTATTAGAATTAAGTGATTAAAAATGGGAAAGTTGTGTATGAATATAAAATGTCTCTCTCTCTCTGCAACACTTCCCTCCTCCAGCCTTTCTCCTCCCTGAACTTCCTTCCTCTCATTAACACGTTCTTTCTGCCCATGAATCACGTCTCGCCATTTTCTCCATTTTCTGTTGTGTGGAAACAATGAGGCAGAGGGCACCTGTTTCCTCCAGGGTCCTCACACCACCGGCCGAACAACGCGCGTGTCGTGTTTTGGTGCCGGCGCTTCCTGAGGGTGAGTGTGGAGCGGGGCCACAGACTCCCGCTGAACTCTCCCACCCTCTGTCATCCATGGCTTCCTGCTCCCTGATGAGTTGTGGCTCGTGGGGACTCATTGTCTGCAGACGGGACTTTCCAACCCTCATCCCTCACTAAAACAAAAAGCTGTGAAAGCAGTGACATGTAGTTTCTTCCCCTTTCATGAATCTGAGGCCTTGAGGGGGTCTCCCCTCAAATCTGTTCACAGAGGTCAAAGTTTGTCAGAAAACTGAAATTAAACGTGTACGTGTATGTGTACACCTTACTTTGTGAGGATGACTGAAGAACTTATGACAATTTTACCAAAAAAGCATATTTCTTTTCCTGTGGGCTCATGAAAGAAGAAGGCGGTGCACAATCTCCATGCAGCCGACATTTTGGATTTTGCTGCCTCCCTCTAGTGTCAGTCTCCTGAACACGTTTTGGGTGTGCGTCTGTTGTTTTCCTTTCTCTTCTGCTTCCCCAACAAGTAATTCAAGTATTTCTTGTCATAAAAAAGCAACACTTTGTTTGGTTTGGACGCTGAAAATAAATGTTTGTAATTTTAGATAGAGAGTGGAGGCGTGTTGATCTTAATCTTGTTATCTGAATTGTAAAAATGTTAATAACACGGCTGTTCTCAAATCGTGGACCTTACCACTGTGAATATATGCTTCTCAGTGTTTTATATGTACATCACCTTGTAGGAGAAATCACAATAAGGCCGATATGTGAGACGCAAAAATTCAAACTCCTGCGTTTAGTTATTCGAAACTAGTTAAAAACTAAGATAAATGCCAGAGCCAGGTGGGATGTGTGGGAAATGATTTATTTCATCATTAGACAAATACACTTGATTCACTCAATAGTAATTATTACATATTCAAAAATCAGACATCAGGCGTCAAATTAATAGAATAGAGATTATTTTATACACATAATACAGATGAGAAAGATGTCGTCCAACTGACTCATTTTAATAATTTTGATAATAATACAATCACAATAGCAATAATCCAGATTAAACTGGAAACACGTATGAGTTTGTTTTTAATCTTTAAGGAGGGAATGCACACAAAATAATCAATAAACTATATTATTGGTATTTGAAGGCAAACGCTAAGATTAAATGAAAAATTGTGTAGAAACCTGCTTTGGTGGAAGTTTCCGTCCTTGAGTAATTATGATCATCACCCTCTGATATATTATGAAACATCATTATCTCTCATGTCCAGACTTCAGGGGGGGGGGGGGTCATGGGTCATGTCCAGTGGGCGCGTGCCCGTGGATCCCTTGCACGCGGCTCTGCCTCGTTGAACTATTGTTCACGATCACAGCTGGAGACCGAAGCATGAGCCGCTGCGGAGACAGACGAGCTCCGGGAGACGGTGAGTAAACCAAACACCCTCCGTGAAGTTGGCGTGTCCACGTTGTTCAGACTTTAACTCAACTTTAGCGGGATCACGTGGGAGAGGTTTCACCTCCGTCACGGGTTCACGTCGCACAGTTCGGTGTTTCCACAGCTGCGAACATTTCGCGGTTCATAGAAGACATCATCAGACACGCGGGCGTGATGATGAACGCGTCATCGCAACGTGCGTGTAGATAATTAAGAGAGTTGTGTTTGTGTGTTTTCTTCTGCTCCAGCTGCGGGTGACAGTCAGTGCGCATGCGCCCTGCAGAGTCATGTGGTTTTTCCAGTGCGCGTTCACGACCGTGCACCTGCTTGACTGACGCGGATGAAGCAGCGTCATCAGCAGGTCAGTGTGTTTCAGTCTCATGGGAATGTATAATAATTCATACATATGATTATTGTTATTATATATATTATTTATTCAATTTAGCTGAAATATATACAACACAATAAAAATCACCAGAACAAATAAAAACACAATCATATACGATAAATAAAAAATAACACCATAAGCTTGACCTCTCCTTACAATAAAATCAAACTAGAAAAGGGATAAAAGTAAGTTTTATGTTTTTATTTAAAGGAAGTTACTAAATGTTAGATATAATGTACAAATATTTGCCTAAACAAAGTGAAGCACGTCACGTGATCATAATGTACAGCCCTCTACTGTCGTACATTAGTTTCACTGAGGTTAGTGATACTCCTGCTCCTCTGCTTTAACAGACTGGTTGTAAATCCTGCAGCTCTTTATAGATATAAAGAAATACAACATCAAGACACACAAACAAATGGTGAACACTGACTGCACAGTTCACTGTAATTCCTGGAGCAGTAAAGTTTATGATATGAGAATCAGGTCACTGTTCCACGTGTTGCCTCAGTTTAGTTTAGTTTCAACTCGCTACTCAAACAGAAGCTTGAATAATTTTGAATGACTGTGTCATTTACAAAATAATACAAATTAAAATGTGGCCGTCAAATAACTGGTTTATATAAACAAAGTATGAGAACAAAGCACATTCCAGTAACAGTTTTTTCACATGAAAAAGGGAGAGGCAGTTTTCAGGAAATCATTCAGAAGCAGCTGACTGTTGAAAAATATGTTTTACTTAAAAATTAAACTAAACTTTTAAATATTTTCAAGTAAAAATATTTTCTGTGTAATTCTGTAAAATGAAATCGTCTGATTGTAAATTATATTTCTGGAGATGTTGGTGGAGGTTGTCTTTGCATAATTATAAAACTTTGCCGCAAAAATGAACTTTTGAGAAGAGAAACAAAAAAATTGCGCAAGTTACTTTGTAAATGATTCATAAACTAACTTGTGTCAACCTTGTTTCTTTACCTTCAGAAGTTAAACATGCTGAACTCGACCAACTTGTTTTTCTTGGAATCAAAATACAATGACCTGGATCACTGACAATCTTCACGCGTATCTCATGTAGTAACTGTATTGGTTGCAAGTAGGCCAACAGTTTACAAATTGTCTTATTGCTGCTTTAAATAATTATTAATATACATTTGAAACCCGCAAAAGAACAGTGGAAAACGACAACAACAAGAAAACAAGTGAAATTCCAACAAATATTAAAAACAGATTGGATTTTTGAACGTGGGAACTTTTCATAGTCGATCCCTGAACACTGGTCAGAGTTCACCTCTCACCTACAGTGTATCTCCCTCTCAGATAAAGACCCACTTGTTAATTAACCTAGTGACACTTAAAAGGCACAACCAGGGATTTTATTGGCCTGTGGGGTGTTAATGATTATTGATCTGTTGACAGCCACAGAGAGGATCACACACTCACTCTGCACACCAGAAGGAGAAGGAGGGTTTTTTCTCCCCGTCCTTGTTGCTTCCCTGCTCTTCTGCCTTCTGTTCATTTTTACTTCATCTTCAGACATGACCAGCAACGAGCCCAAAGCAAAGAAGAGCGGCGGCGCTGAAGCTGCCGAGGATGGAGACTGGAGCTGGCCACTGGTCGCCGCTCTGTTCGTCAGCACGAGCCTCGTGTTCGGCCTGATGCGCAGCCTGGGCGTCTTCTTCGTGGAGTTCGTCCAGTACTTTGAGACGAGCGCTCAGGCCATCTCCTGGATCTCCTCCACAGGCCTGGCAGCGCAGCAGTTCTTCAGTGAGTCCCTCATGCACGTGTCTGCAGCTACTTGTTATTATTCATTTCTTCATTGTCTATCATTTTCACAGTAACTCTAATCACATAGAGAAAAATGCATATGCTGTATTATTTGTTTTGTTTGACTAACAGATCTCAACTCAGATACTCAAGTTGATTTAACACAAATAAAAGCTTTGAATCCAATGACTTTAAATTGTTTAAAATATTAAAGTGGTACAAGCTTTATTCTCTACGCGGCTACTTCACCTTTTCCTTAATTATGGGGAAGATAGAATAACTGTGATATTCCTTAGTATCTGTGATACTTTACATAGATATCATCTCCTATCACATCTTTTTATATCTGATGGTATATTTTTGGATCGTATCTTGTCTTATGTTATCTTTTCATATCGTATTGTATCTTATGTCTTTCAGTATCATATCATAGGTCTTAATAATAATTGATAATAGTCTTAAAAAGTCTCAAATTTAACTTCTGCAGAAACGTTGGTTGAATATTGTCTGTATTATTTTTTATAAGTTAAGAATGACATAAGTAGAAGATTGTTTCATTGCAGTTTTCTTGTGACTCCTGTATGTGTTTGCTTCAGGTCCTCTGGGTGCAGCTCTGTGTAACGCCTATGATACCCGGCTGGTGGTGATGACGGGCGGCTTCCTCGCAGGACTCGGCTTCATACTTGCCTCTCAAGCCACGTGCCTGTTTCATCTGTACCTCACTATGGGTCTCATTTCAGGTGATATCTTACTATAAGTAACCAAATACTTCAGTTCCTCTTCCTGTGGGAATAGAAAGCACCCCCTGTTTACTTTTCTGTTTAGTGAAGTTAACTTTTTAACCTGTTAACTGCAGCTAATCACCCCTCCCCTACCCTGCCCCTCTCCTCCAGGTTTTGGCTGGGGGCTGGTCTTCACTCCCATGGTTGCCACCGTCGTGGCTAACATCACGCGACGCCGCACCCTGGCGTTGGGACTGGGGTTCTCCAGCATCGGCATCGTCTCCTTCATTTTCAACCCGCTCTTCCAGTTTCTGGTGGAGACGTACGCCTGGCGAGGGGCCTTGCTGATTCTGGGGGGCCTCAGCCTCAACATAGTGGCCTGCGGGGCCCTGATCCGTCCAAAACGACGCTCCAAAGCTCCAGAGAAGGTGGGACGACACTCTACTGTCTCCAACTTTTCAATCTTAGAGATACTCAGCAAGAAAATTGATTATTAAACCTGTAAATGATTTCAATGGGAGGATTCTACTGGGTGTAGTATAAAGTAAAAGTGCTGACTCGTCTACATTATAACACATTTTCTCATTGTCCTTCAGTGGTTTCATAGTTTGGTGTCATATCATTGATTCACTGCTCATTTCTGAATGTTTATCAGAAATCAAATCAGTTTGATGGTGTATTTTCAAAGGCTTGTTTCAGTGTGAGGAAAACTAACATCAGCCTCAAGTTAAAACAGCAACACGGAACATCAACTTCTGCTTTCATTACTTTTAAACCAATGAACATCATTTTACAATCAGCTCCAGATACTAGCTTCTAATGTGAACTTGTCAAATGTTACTTTTGTCACTTTTAAACTGTTTGTCTATCTCTCACGTCACCTGCATTTCACCTCCTCATCGGTCCAAGAACAATCCTGTGTCTTATTTTGTTGTTTATCTTTCGTATTGTTTTCTATCGAGCAACCGGCTGCATAGTGGACAATCTACTTCCTGTTCACACCCTCACACACACATGTCTAGTGTGCGGTTCTGTGGTAATGTGATAATGTGTTTTCAGGTGTGTTGGTATGAACAGGGATTATCACTGATCCGGAGTTAAAACGCTCGGGTGGACGGAGATCTTTTAAGTGTTTAAACATCAGTGTGGATCTTGCCTAAGAAGGTTTTATAGTTTCATCATGAACAGACAACAGTTCATCATTTCCCTTCTTGTCCGTTCTCAAGGTGGATTCGGAGAAAAAGTCATCTTGTGCTTCGATGCTTCGACGCCTCTCCTCCTACCTGGAGCTGTCGCTGCTCATGGAGAGGCCTTACCTCACCTACACCTTGGCCGTCACTTTGCTTAACGTCGGCTACTTCGTTCCATATTTCCACTTGGTGGCTCACAGCCGCCAAGTCGGCTTCTCGGAGTACCAATCTGCTTTTGTCATGTCGGCGGCCGGAGCCTCAGACATTCTGGGCCGCGTGGCGTCGGGCTGGTTCTCTGACCTGGGACACTTCCGGCTGCTCCACTTACTGACTCTGTGGACGGCGCTGGCCGGAGTGTTCATCATGCTGCTGCCCGTCAGCTCCTTGTCCGGTTCTTACGCCGCGCTGATGGCGATCAGCCTCCTCTACGGGTTCTGCTCCGGGTCTTTGACCTCGTTGGTTTTCGCGGTGGTGCCCATGATTGTGGGCGTGGAGCGCGTGATGGGGGCCCTCGGGCTGCTGCAGCTCATCGAAAGCGGAGCCGGGCTGCTGGGGACTCCTCTGTCAGGTAGGAGAGCAGACTGAGATAGAGGAGTTTTATTTACTGTGGAGAAAGTCAGAGCTGAGTGTGTGTTATCTAAAGTGACCTCAAACACAAGTGAACATACTGAAGCTTAAAGTAGTCAAACATTAACTGGAGCAGTGAGGGTCAGTTACTGGACAGATTTCCACAAAACTAGTGAAGGGATGTCGTATGGGTCAAGGCAGAACACATAAAAGTTTGATGCGCATCCAGATAAGGAGACTATCTAACATTAACTAACATTTATCAAAATCACATGAATAAGAAGTCACAATTGTTAGTTATCATATGATTAACATGCTCTTTATTTGTGTTCTTGGTAGTTGTAACGTGTTTTTAGCTTTTTCTTACACTTTATGCTCTTTTTTTAATGTTGTATTTGACGTTTTCATTTCTCGTGTCTCTAGGTTTCCTGAAGGATGTCACAGGCACCTACACCGCCTCTTTCCTGGTCACGGGCGGTTTCGTCGTTCTCGGCACTTTGACCATGAGCACTCTTCCTCACTTCTTCTCCCGCACAGATCCGCCGGCTCCTCGCAGACGCTCACACGATAAAAAAGATAAGAGTTTACATTTAGAGCTAGAACAGATCAATAGTTCACCTCCTGACACGAAGGAGGTCAATGATCTGTGAGGATAAACCTCAAGACTGTGCAAGGAAAGGGTTCAAGGGTCATGTTAACAGTTTTCAGAGCATTCTGTACGACACTGGCGCACACATTGCTGAACGGCTGTATGTTTGTGTTATACCTCAGAGATTCAGACCCACAGTGGAGCTCAGTGTGAGAGGACAGCAGATTGGGACCAAAGAGTTTCTCTCTGTCACACATCCTAACCTCAGTTCAGACCACAACCTGTGATCCAAAGGACATATCTCATTGATAACATACAGATCATTGACTGTATAAAAAGATGTAGCAGCGCATCTCCACTTCCTCCAGAAATGAAGCTTAGAATATCCCTGGATACGGGGATACGCAGCAGTGATCGTGGGAATGCGTCTGTGGTCGCAAGGTCTCATGGATGCATGTGCTCGACCAATCATGGGTCGGGGCCACACTAGCAGCGCTTGATGGCTGTGTTTCAGGTTTCAGGTATGACTACTGTGTTTGCTCGAACAAAAGTACTCAACTAAATGGACCATGGTATGAAGCTGTGCATTGAAACAAATGAAGTGGATTTGCATGAAAGATAGGAACTGTGAATGAAAACACAATCTGACTGTTAATGATTTTTACACTTGCCATTGAGTTAGCACGTGAGATGGAACTGTTTTATGTTTTTTGGTGGTTCTCTGTGTTGGAAAAAGTTATATAGTTTATGTTGCACTTACATAGTTAATTATTAACCTTCACACGCCTCTTTTCAACGACCGTATATATGTTATTTTAACGGCGCACTCGTGACATAAGCCCCATTGTGTTTGAAGAGAAATGTGGAGGATTATTTACTCCATGGGTTAAAGCAGAACCATTCGTCGGTTTCTCTTTACAAACTGTTGCAGCGGCACCGTTTGCCCTCTCAGCCTCAGGGACTTCTCTTTCCACCAGTGCATTAAAGCGCTGGGCAGGAAAACAAGACTGTGATTCCTCAAGTGCAATTTTTAATGATACATGAATGTGTATAAGCACTTTGAACCGTTGTAAACCTGTGTTAACCAGAGAGCTTGGCCTTTAGAGCAGCTGAATGAACACGGCCGGGTCATCGTGACCTGCTGGTTACTGACATCATGATTTCAGAATCCTCGCAGTGCAAATAGAGTTTGAGCCACTGTGAGACCTCATCCGACTGGCAGCTACTCAACAATGAAGCTTCAGTAATAACATCGAAGTGAATATTTGTCCTGGAAGTGATTCTAAGCTGTTATTCTCTGACTCTGTGCAGTCACTCATATATGTTAAAGTTCAATCTTTATTAAAAAATATGGTATTTTTATCATTTTAATGTGTTTCTGTGTTTTTAGTTTCTCAGTTTCTAACATTCTGCTTCAACTTTTTGCCAAGAGGCTCCATTCCAAAATAACAGCTCCCTCTGCTGGAGCTTTGTTCACTCGACATCAAAACATAGGAATGAGTGTCACTCAAAACATGAAACGATAAACTTTTATTTATTATTATTTATTCATTGACTCCACCAATGCTGTTGGTGGTTATGTTCTCACCCCTCTCCCTTTGTACTCATGAAGTTTTGGTGTGGATCCAGGTTTTTTGCGAGACTTCCAACATTTTCTTTATTTGTCAAAGAACAACTAGTGGATTGAAATTTAAAAAAAAATCACCTTAAGAGGACTGATATTATAAGTGTGTGTAATTGAGTGCAGCTTAATTGAATTTAAGGGGACTGTTGGTGGTGGTGGCTCTGAAATTTAAAAAAGCATTTAAACATACTTAAAAGTAAGATTCATTTTATTTGATGATACAAATCTCAAGTACCTCACGTGGTTTTCACAAAATGAACAGTGTCTAAAAATCTTTCAAATGTAAAAATGGTCATACATTATTATTCAGTGGATGATAAAAATTCACCTTCTTCACTTCTCATGTAAAAAGTTGAGGGGAAATGGAGGAGGAACACAAAACAGAT